GAAGTACAGAACTAAACCCTTTCAACAAGAGTGAAGTACAGAACTGACCGTTTCAACAAGGGTGAAGTAAAGAGCTGAACCCGTTCAACAAGGGTGAAATACAGAACTGGACCCTTTTCAACAACGGTCAAGTACAGAACTGGACCCTTTCAACAAGGGTGAAGTTAAGAACTGAACCCGTTCAACAAGAGTGAAGTACAGAACTGAACCCTTTCAACAAGGGTGAAGTGCAGAACTGGACCCTTTCAACAAGGGTGAAGTGCAGAACTGGACCCTTTCAACAAGGGTGAAGTACAGAACTGGACCCTTTCAACAATGGTGAAATACAGAACTGAACCCTTTCAACAAGAGTGAAGTACAGAACTAAACCCTTTCAACAAGAGTGAAGTACAGAAATAAACACTGTCAACAAGGTTGAAGTACAGAACTGGACCCTTTCAACAATGGTGAAGTACAGAACTGGACCCTTTCAACAATGGTGAAGTACAAACTGAACCCTTTCAACAAGAGTGAAGTATAGAACTGAAAACTTTCAACAAGGGTGAAGTACAGAACTGAACCCCTTCAACAAGAGTGAAGTACAGAACTGAACCCTTTCAACAAGGGCGAAGTACGAACTGAACCCTTTCAACAAGAGTGGTTACAGAACTGAACCCTTTCAACAAGGGTGAAGCACAGAACTGAACCCTTTCAGCAAGGGCCAAGTACAGAACTGAACCTTTTCAACAAGGGCGAAGCACAGAACTGAACCCTTTCAACAACAGTGAAGTACAGAACTGAAACCTGTCAACAAGGGTGAAATACAGACCTGAACCTGTTCAACAAGGGCGAAGTACAGAACTGCGCCCTTTCAACAAGGGTGAAGTACAGAACTAAACCCTTTCGACAAAGGCGAAGTACAGAACTGAACCCTTTCAACAAGGGCGAAGTACAGAACTGAACCGTTTGAACGGTAAAGTACAGAACTGCACGCTCTCAACAAGGGCGAAGTACAGAACTGCAACCTCTCAACAGGGGCGAAGTACAGAACGGCACCCTGTCAACAAGGGCAAAGTACAGAACTGCACCCTTTCAACAAGGGCGAAGTACAGAACTGAACCCTTGCAACAAGGGTGAAGTACAGAACTGAACCCTTTCAACAAGGGCGAAGCACAGAACTGAAGCCTTTCAACAACAGTGAAGTACAGAACTGAACCCTTTCAACAAGGGTGAAGTGCAGAACTGAAATCTGTCAACAAGGGTGAAATACAGACCTGAACCTGTTCAAGAAGGGTGAAGTACAGAACTGAACCCCTTCAACAACCGTGAAGTACAGAGCCCCTTTCAACAAGTGTGAAGTACAGAACTGAACCCTCTCAACAAGGGTGAAGTACAGAACTGAACTGTTCAACAAAGGTAAAGTACAGAACTGAACCCCTTCAACAAGGGCGAAGTACAGAACTGCGCCCTTTCAACAAGGGTGAAGTACAGAACTAAACCCTTTCGACAAAGGCGAAGTACAGAACTGAACCCTTTCAACCAGGGCGAAGTACAGAACTGAACCGTTTGAAGGGTAAAGTACAGAACTGCACGCTCTCAACAAGGGCGAAGTACAGAACTGCAACCTCTCAACAGGGGCGAAGTACAGAACGGCACCCTGTCAACAAGGGCAAAGTACAGAACTGCACCCTTTCAACAAGGGCGAAGTACAGAACTGAACCCGTTCAACAAGGGTGAAGTACAGAACTGAACCCTTTCAACAAGGGTGAAGTACAGAACTGCACCCTTTCAACAAGGGTGCCGTACATAACTGAACCCTTTCAACAAGGGTGAACAAGGGGGAACTACAGAACTGCACCCTTTCAACAAGGGCGGAGGACAGAGCTGCACCCTTTCAACAAGGGTGAAGTACAAAGCTGAACTCCTTCAACCAGGGTGAAGTACAGAACTGAACCCTTCAGCAAGGGTGAAGTACAGAACTGAACCCTTTCAGCAAGGGTGAAGTACAGAACAGAACCCTTTCAACATGGGTGAAGTACAGAACTGAACCCTTTCAACAAGGGCGAAGTACAGAA